AAAAAAAAAAAAAAAAAACCGTAAAACGGAATCACCGAGTCACTGTTTGGACTCGCCGATTCCGTACAGTGAATCGGCGATTCACTGTACAGAATCGTCCGGTTCTCTCTAGAACCGGACGATTTCCGATTTTTGGGCGATCCGGTTCCTTTTTCACTATTTCCGAGTCGAACCGGGCGGCGTTTTTTAAAACGCTGGTTTAGACTTTAAAATTTTATCGAGACGAAAGCGTTTAACACTTTTTCCTCTCATGTAGATCCTTGATCTCCCTCCTCTCAAAACCATCGGCATCTCATATGCTCCCTACAGCAATTATTGTAGAGGTTCTTTTGGGTTTAGAGTTAAGAGAGAAACAGAGTTTAAGAGATTCATGAGCGATTGAGAGGAAGAAAGTTTCTATCTGCTCCAAGATGGGTTCTGTTTATATATTTCCCTGAAAAAGCTGTGGTTCGTGACCAAGAACAAAGTAAATTGGTCGCGGGGCCGGATATTGAATAGATAACTTATGGGTAATCGCTATTATTAATATTTATTTTTATTTGTATAAAGATATAAATGGGGTATAAGCTTTTGATTTGATTTAAATATTTATTTTTTATGAGTAAAGATATTAACATTTTATGAGTAAAATATTATTGAAGCAATAATTTAGATATTACTGAATCAATAATTTATATTTACAATAAAACTATTTATTTTTACAAGAAAATCACAATCGTCATCAGTCGTTAAATGTGAAATCAGGTGGCTCAGCTTATGTTGTTCGCTAAATAAATAGTCTTATAGTATAACATTGCATGTTAAAGTATTATATGCCTGGAAAGGATATTTTAGCTTCACTCCAATTAAAAAGATGAGTAATTTACGTATGGATAAAAAATAATTGCCTAAAATACGAAATGATCCAATTATATGCAGAAATTACAAGGAAAGTTCGTCAACCTACGTTTTTTTTTTTTTTCAAAATTACCCCTCTATCCAGGGATTCCATCCCTTGGGCGACATTTTGTTTTAGGTTTTTAATTTTTTTCATTAGTAAGGCAGTGCCCCAAGCTTTAGGGGCAGTGCCCAGGCGGTCCGAGGTTAGAATCCTCGCACTAACCTTGGATCGCCCTATGAATACAGCAAAGCCCCAGTAGAACGGTATGAGGTCCTCATCCGCGGACTGCTGTTTTCTCAAGCAATAACAAATAAAGTGTGGTTCGAGTATGGAAACGTCGGACCGCCTTGAAACTGAGTTTTGCTCAATCCAGAGAGCGGTCAAAGGTTTCCATCATAGGATTGCTGTTATTTTAAAAAAAATAAGAAAAAAAACACGGTCCGAGGATGGGGACCTCATACTGCTGTTTTCCTCATAAAAAATAAGAGTCGTTGTTTATGGTTAAATTATTTCTAAATGGAACGCAGAATGTTGGGTAGGTGATGTCAAATCACCACCCCATGTGGCATTTCTCATTATGGTGAGGTGTATTTTTGTCACTAAAAGAAATCTTTTTAGTGGAG